TCTGCTGCTTTCCTTGCATGAAGCCAAAAGTCTCTCTCTCCCCGTGATAACGGAGCTGGAGATGGTATTCTGCGATCCCAAATAAAGAATGATCAATTGGTAGGAAAACGGGGTGGGGAATTTTCCTGCAGATTTTTTTTTTGAGTTTTCCCAGGGTCTCTGGTCCGTGGGATTTAAAATTATGAGTTTGGTGGTCCCTGAAGTCCAAAGGGTTGGCAACCCCTGGCCTAGACTCAGCTATCCGACCTGTGGAAAAACTCGCTCCCTTGGTCCCATACCCATGCACCCTTAGAAGGCAGGTAGAAGGGAGAGCTTCCAGCCAGAGGAGGACATGGTTTTTCCTGAATTGGGTGGGAACTGCTTTTCACATTTATTAATTTTTAAATTACATTTTAGCCCTTTCGTTTCACTTTTTATTGATTTAATTCATTTCAATAGCCACCCAGCTCAACAAGTGGTGCTTTTGCCATTTTAGCTGCCCCAAATATAATTGGTTGGTGGCAATGAAATTAATGTTCCTGAAGAACCTTGAGGGCTTTGTTTAGGAACCGATTGTGACCCTCTCTCTCTCTCTCTCTCTTTCTCTCTCTTTGTTGCATGGCTTCTTGGAAGGCAAACCTGATTCATGAGCCGCTGGTGATTTTTGTTTGTGCAACCACAGGACAAGGAGACCCTCCAGATAATATGAAGGTCAGCTCAGAGCCCCTTCTGTTGTTCCTTGGGAGGGTACAGGCCATGAACATGAACCCTTCCATCGCTGATTATAGGACTTTATTGGGCTCGAATCATTTGGCAGCAGAGCCTCCCGTCTACGAGTTGACCCTAGGATGCCTCTGGGGCAGAGGTGGAGCCCCTTTGCCTGTGTGGTTCAGTGTGGCTGGCTGCAGCCTGGGAATGCTGACCTGGCTGACCCCACCTCTGCCTTTTCCTTGCCAGCCAGCAGGGCTGATGGCTGCCATTCATTTTTGGTTCCCCCTCTAGTGGGGCTGGCGCCAAAGTCCATGCAGTGAGCAGGATAAGGTTCCTAGGGGGAAAAACTTCCATTCTTTAATTTTCCAGAATTTCTGGAAGTTTATATTCCGGAAGAACTTGCCTCCCACTTCCCTGTGCCAGATGGACTACGCTGTTCTGGGGTTTGGGGATTCCTCATATCCCAAGTAAGTGCCGCTTCTCTCTCTCTCTCTCTCAGGGAAATTAATAGGCCAAGCGTGGTAGTCGGAGTTCTTCATCATGTCGTAGTTCCAGCCGTCTGAGCAGCGGCTGCTACTGCTGACCAGGTTTGGGGGCTCTAGAGCCATGGTGGCTAACCTTTTTGAGGTCCTGTGCCAAAAATTGTGCGTGCGCTTGCACGCTTGTGCTCAGGGGCCAGCACCCAGAAGGCAATGTGCACCCCGCCCCATGTCCCCTTCGCATGCGCGCGCACAATACCCACCCACCCACCCCCCGTCGCTCCCTTATCTGCCCTGTGCCTCACCGCTGATTTTCAGCCTCCCAAAAGCTTGGGGAAGACTTCTGCAGGCTTCTACAAGCATTGTAGGCCAAAATCTAGCCCTGTTTCGTCACTTCCTGTTTTTCTGAAAATTCCGGAAGTGACGAAACGGGGCTAGATTTCGGCCTACAAAGCTTGTAGAAGCCTGCAGAAGCCTTCCTCAAGCCTTTGGGAGGCTGAAAAAGCCCTCAAACCGGCCGAAAATCAGCTGTGAGGTGCGCACATGCGCAGTGAGGTAAGTTTGCCTGCAGCTCGCATGCCGGCACAAATGGTTCTGCGTGCCACAGGCTCGCCATCACGGCTCTAGAGCTTTGTCAAAAGAAATGTGGGGCACAAGTAGCTAACGGGGTGATCTAAGTATTGTTAGCTATAGGTGGCTATAGAGCTGTACAGAAACAGGTCGTTGAAATGCTACATGAATGGGACGTTTTCCTTTTTTTTGTTTGCCTTTGAATAGCATCCACTATATTCTGAATAAGATTTGCAGGCCTCTTTTTCTCCTGCAACCTTCTTCTCCACCACACACCCCCTTTTTTTTAAAAATGCCCTATCGTCGTAGTGACTTTCATCCATTAAATGGTGGTGCCTTTAGACTGCCCTGTTGTGCTTATCGCTACAAACCTGTTCGCTGTTCCGGGGTCTCTTCCAGCTGTGCCAATAAGTTCTTCAGGATGCT